TGAGTAGTGACATGAATGAAATTAAGTAACATAAAGATATTTCTCCACCTAACTGCTTGTCTTCTTTCTATAATCTAAATAATGTGGTGAATGGAGTTAAACCCAGCTGTTTCTATAATCCCATTTTTGTGGTGAATGGAGTTAAACCCAGCTGGTAGCCAGCCGCAAGTGGTGTTCCCCGGGGGCTCAGTACTGGGGGCAGTTCTCTTTAAAATCATTATCAGTGACCTGGATGAGGGGATTGAGTGCACCCCCAGTAAGTTTGAGGACAACATCAAGTTGGGTTGGAGTGTTGATCTGCCTGAGGGTAGGAAGGGTCTACCGAGGGATCTGCACAGGCTGGATCGATGGGCTGAGGCCAACTGTGTGAGGGTCAACAAGGACCAGTGCCAGGTCCTGCACGTGGGTCACAACAACTCCCTGCAACACTACAGGCTTTGGATGAGCGGCTGGAAAGCTGCTCGGTGGAAAAGGGCCTGAGGATGTTGGTCAGCATCTGGCTGAATATGAGCCAGCAGTGTGCCCAGGTGGCCAAGAAGGACAATGGCATCCTGGCCTATATCAGCAATAGTGTGGCCACCAGGACTAGGACAGTGATTTTCCACCAGTACTGGGCACTGGTGAGGACGCACCTCAAATCCTGGGTTCAGTTTTGTGCCCCTCACCACAGGAAAGACACTGAGGTGCTGGATCATGTCCAGAGAAGGGCAACGGAGCTGGGGAAGGGTCTGAAGTCCTGTGAGGAGAGGCTGAGGGAACTGGGGGTGTTCAGCCTGGAGAAGAGGAGGCTCAGGGGAGACCTTATTGCTCTCTACAACTGCCTGAAAGAAGGTTGTGGTGAGGTGGGTGCTGGTCTCTTCTCCCAAGTGACAGGACAAGGGGAAATGGCCTCAAGTTGTGCCAGGGAAGGTTTAGAGCGGATATTAGGAAAAATTTCTTCAGTGAAAGGGTTGTCAGGCACTGGAACAGCCTGCCCAGGGAGTGGTGGAGTCACTGTCCCTGGAGGTATTTAATGGATATGTGTATTCGGCACTTGGAGACATGGTTTAGTGGTGGACTTGGCAGTGTTAGGTTAATGGTTGGACTTGATGAGCTTAAATGTCTTTTGCAACCTAAATGATTCTATGATTTTTATCATTTGCATTCAAAAGAATCTAAAGATTGTAGGGTAAAAGACACTGTACAAACAAAATAAATTAGCCCCAACACCAGAACTTAAAACATTTTTTCAGAATGGAAAGCCTGGAAGAAACATATCCTACACTGAGATATAAATAGCTGTGCTTCAAGTGGAGGATTAGTCCTCCACTTAAACTTTTACAGTGCCTCATGATATTCCACCATTGCCACAAACTGTTTCTGCCCAGGGATATTCAGGACTAATCCTCCCGAACACAGATTTATTGTAGCTTTGCCCTGTCTTCAGACTACTGCATTCCCCTTCCTGTCATTACACCTTTGGATTCTGCATTTGAATGTCTTCATTTTTAAGCTTCTGGTGCTTCTGCAAGCCATCAGTTACTCCCTCCACTTGGAGACTGCAGTCAGTAACAGGTTTTGGATTTTACACTATTTATAATAATTTTTTTTTTTTCCAAGCAAGACGGCAGTCGCTATGATTGCATCTGGTTTTAATTTATCTCCTTAAACAAGTTTTGTGGTTATCCAGAGCACAATGCCATTAAAAACTGAACACAGCTGAGATCCATCATGAGGGAGAAAGATGCTTGAAAGGCAGATTTATGAACTACAGGTAATGAATGTTGTTGGATCCTGAAGCACTCCTACTGCAATTACAAGAAGCTATTTCAAGGAAGCCTAAGATTCCCAATAAAGTTGAAGCACCTCCACCTTTAGGAGGCATCACATTTTGTAGTGCCTCTTTCCTCTTGAGGGAGGACCCTCCAGTACCTACCACCTGCCTTTTCCTATTCACACGCCATTCAGGCTCAGCTGGCTCTGGCAAATCCTTGGGCAGATACTGCTCGTCATCCCCCCTGCCCAGGGCACTGTACCGTTCCCAAAGCTGTGGGTCCGCAAGTGAAGCATGATCCTTTCTCCTGCTGCTGGAAGCCACAAGCTCCAAGGTTCTTGATGGCCACCTTCCACTATCTCCTTGACAATAGCCTCCATTTGTCCTTCCCATCTCACGCAGTGTGGCTCTAAGCTATGTGAACTTCAGAAAAAACCCTGACACACCCCCTTTCCCTGGAAGCAACTGCTTCCTATTGCACTGGAGAGCTGCAGGAGCATTTGTCATTGCTGCTAAGGGGTTAAAAGAGTCATGAGGGGGACAGCTGCTTCCCACCGCCACCTTTGACTTTCCCCAAAGTATGGAGACTGACCCCAAAGTATGGGGACTGTCTTACACGCATTCCTATAGGGAATGCAAAACAGGTCTGAGGGAAGCAGAGAACAATAGATGAAGTGCTTCTGTTTTACCTTTCCTTGTGACACAGAGACAAGGAGTGATTTAACAGGGATGAAGGATGAGAAGTTACCAATAGACATGCTAGGCAGATTTGGATCACTTACTGCTGCCAGAAACCGATACTAAGGGTTTATTATCTTTCTTCTGCATAATCAAGTGCTTACTTCCAGACCCCACCTGCAATTAGCCGTGCAGTGTCTCAGTAACATACAGATTCGCTTTTGTTCTTGGATTATAGTAGTGATCAGACACATGGCACCAAGCAGTGTGCCACAAACTGCACAAACAGTGAGAAGACAGTACAGTTGTCATAATTACAACGTCAGGAATAAAATAACTCTGTGGAATATTTAAATCTCAGGCACGCAACAGTTGCATTATTTACTACTGCACAATGCATTTGCGTTGATGTTATAAAGAATAACGAATTCCTGTGCTTATGCAGCATATGTAGGATATGCAGCACTGCAGAAGTCAGCAGTACGCATACCCTGACCGTTAGGAAAGAGCTGGCCACTGTTAACTACATGGTCTAGGAAACACTATGTCAACTTCTACTTCTGTACACACTTAAAGAAATTTGGTTGATAGAGGTGAGCTAAATTACCATAAAGGCTGATTTATTAACTGGGAATAAAACATTACCCTATGAAACCTTCATTAAAAAGCTTTACCCGTGACTAATGTTAGTATATTGTTATGTATAATCTTAAGCACTATTAAGTAGGTGTCTGACAAAGGATTTCTACGTGTCTTCTCTGTGCCTGTCAGTAAGGTATTTTTGGTACATGGCTAAACTAGTCAAGGTCCTACCTCTGCTGAAGCCCTTGACCTTTTCTGTGACAAATGCAAAACTTATTGACACATGCGATTCAGTTTCATGTGGCAAAAAGCAGCCCGAGAAAAAGCACAAATATACCATTTCCATGGTACCTTCCACAGTATGCTAGTGTAGTTTCATGGATTGGTTCTCATAACAGCACTTGCTAGATGGTCCTTATACACAGGTAGGCAGATGGATTTTGTAGACTTAGGGCAATTTGAAACATGTCACACTAATAGAGCATGTGACCTTTTTTTTTCTTTTAATTCTGTGAGTTCCGTGACAGCAAGAATTATCACCCTAATACAGCACGTAAGTGTGCTTGACTTTCAGCACATCAAAAGTAAAATCTCCAGATGTGTTCCTGTGGCATTAATTAACATGAAACTGGAACAACAGGACCAAATCCAGATCAAGAAAAGAGGTTATCTGCCTTTCTCAGGAAGGAATCGTTGGAGAGACAGGGAGAGAGACACCAATGAAATTACAAGCCAAGTTTGTCCATTCACAGTTTTAAAAGTTTCATAAGCATTTAATAACCCATCTATTACAAAAAAAAAGAAAAAAGGCAAATGCAGGTGGTAACTCACATATGTGAGCTTGAAAGCACCACGATGAGGGTCTGTCTTAAAGGGACCTTTAAAAGCAGCTATAATTTGAGCAATACCCTCACATAGTCATAGAATCATAGAATCATAGAATGGTTAGGGTTGGAAGGGACCTTAAAGACCATCTAGTTCCAACCCCCCTGCCATGGGCAGGGACACCTTCCACTAGACCAGGTTGCTCAAAGCCTCATCCAGCCTGGCCTTGGACACTTCCAGGGATGGGGCATCCACAGCTTCTCTGGGCAACCTGTTCCAGTGCCTCACCACCCTCTCTGGGAAGAACTTCTTCCTGATATCCAATCTATGATATCCAATCCAATGTCACGGACTTATCAGCAAGCATTTGCTTAGATGCTCTACGATTTACAGTCTAACAAAAGGAGAGGAACTGCCTTGCAAAAAAAGGCTTAGGCTATGGAGAATACCTTCAGGAACCGAATGTCAACTCACATGCCCTCTGGAAGGAGCAAGGATCTGGAAGATCCAGCCTACATCGTAGCTACTCTCTATGTTCGTTAAGTAACCACCATACAGTACCATATTTGAGAAGTGTTTGATTGCATCACGCCATTTTTAAGAGGTGATGTTGAATTATCCTAGTTAATGATAAACTGATTACGAAACCATAAAAATATCTCAGCTACTATCAGTATTTCCACAGCATGGATGAAATTACACTTACCTATCAGACAAAATTAGAACAGCAGTAGGTGACAACAAAATGGAAAAAAAAAACCCTATCAGCAGTACTAGTTATAAAGACAACGATTTTCAAACAATCTGAAGGTGTTTAAATTAATAACATTAAAAATAAGATGTCCGAGCAGAAATTTCACGAAACGTTCTTCAAAACACTGTGCGGTTTTGCACGTAGTTTTCAGTCAAAATCCATGATCTATGGATTCTATGAATCTCTGACATTCAGCATATGCTCTGATACTTTATACTGTAACCAATACACTGTGCTTTATACATTATTTAATCATGCTTTACAAGCTATGTAAAGCCTGTGTGCCAGGAATCCATGTGCATACCCATTCTGTATTTAACAAGAAAAGCCACTATCTCATACCTTCCCTTCTCAAACAAGTAAAATGTGGTTTCAAATCTGATTATTTTTTTCACCCTCCTCTTACAGGATCACAACAACAGCCGCTTGCATGATGGATCTACGCAGATATCCTCTGGATGAACAAAACTGCACACTAGAAATTGAAAGTTGTAAGTTACTGGAGGGAGAGGGTTGGCCAAACGGCAGCTGTAGATTGAAAGACATTCACAGGTTAGGTAAAACAGGAGCAAGTTGTTCAAACACTGTGTGTCCAGTGAGTTTGTACACAGAATACACCCAATATGTTTCTATAAGCCAAAATACGTTTAATTCACAATATTGGTTGATCCAAGCTTGTAAGATGTCTTTCAAAACCTCTTCTCAAGGAAAGGAGAAGAGTATTTCTCGATCAGAGGACGACAACCGAGCACTGTCTCTCTTCAGTGCCTAATCACCGCAGAACCTGAATTAATATAGATTTATATGTTTTATGATGCTAGCCTTTAGAGAAACTCAGTGCACCCGCCTCCAACATCAAGATTAACATCTGCCCCACGTGGTGGTGGCAGGACTGATCAATTGCTCTTCCCAAAACTCTTGGAGGTTATAAAAGGAAACAACTTGATCCTTCAGCACCAAGGTTAATGAGTTTTGCCATTGTCTTCCACAAGCACAGGATCAAGGCATGAACTTGCAAATTTTTGTCATTAATATAGATTTATATATTTTATGATGCTAGCCTTTAGAGAA